GATTGAGAGATACAGATATGATCTTTGAGGGAATTCAGGTGCACCTTTATGCTTGCATAATTTGGCACCACTTCGTGCAGACAACGAATTGCAGCGCTACTGACCAGTCCTCTTCCTCCCATGTGCTCCCTGGGTCCCTATCTGACTGAAGAAACCCCTGAGTGCCGTCGGTGTCCGTCCCATTGGAACAAATGGCGAAGAAGAAAAGATGACCCTCCCTTTCCCTGAGGTCAGTGGTGCAGCATCAGTGAGTGAGCTGAATGCGATGCCCCTCTCGCCATCACAGATCCCTTATCCCTGTCCCTGCTCTGATCCACCTGGGGCCGCCGCCGCCGCCCCTTCTGGGAGGTGGCTGGCTGCTTCGGCCGTGGATTGTGACAAAATTCTGAGTGGAAGCATGTGGAGTGCTATGGCAATGGCGGCGTGACACGCGAGCACAGCTCACCCATTCTTTTCAAAGCTCTGGGACTCTGGGCTGGGCGTTTTCTCCTCCTCCTACCCTGAGCAAACCCCAGCAGCAGCTTCTTTGGTGATTCCTCCATCGCTTTCAGATCTTCGGCTGGGCCCCGGATTCGGATCCCGGATATTGCCATTCTCCCCGATCTTGGCCGGCTTTTCGCGGTGGGAAAGGTGGAAACCTGTAGACCGGAATGTAATGTTGTTGGTGGAAGTATCTGTTGCCTCGCAAATCTGTGCCCTTTTTTTTTGGAGGATGTGTATCGACAATAGTAACAAGAGCAGAGACTGACAGCTTCTCATCAGCTCACACATGCATGTCTATCGACAACTCGAGATGCACAAGCCTTTGACTTGCTGCAGGTACCGGTACAAGTGCCAGCCATAACTGGAAAATTGTTGGTCACCTGCTGTCGAGTGTCCAACTGCCGATGCTTCGTGCCCCAGCTCGCCTTCTTCTGCCGTGCCTGGCCCTGCACCGTCCATCCTGAATGGTTACGAACCATCACACTGGCCATTGGTGATCGTGGTCATGGAACCCTGAAGAAACCGAGATCACAAGGAAAACGAAACGAAGGCTCTCAACATGCTCCTGTCCGGCTCCGGAACCGTGCGGCCGCCGCGCCGGGGCAGTCCGGCACCACGAGGACGAGGAGCGCACGCCGGCCAGCCGGCCGGAACACAGCCACACGAGAGCACGGCGCCGGCACGAGCATCCCAAACGCGTCAGACCTGACGCGCCGGCCGGGCGACGGCGGCGCACGGAACCGAGGGCGGGTTTTTTTTTTTTTTTTTTTTTTGAGCAAAGAACCGAGGGCGGCTGCGCGGGGCGTCGTGCGTCTGCCCGTGATGGGCCTTGGAGTCCGTTCCGTTCACGTGGGGGAGGGGAAGTGGCGGTCCCAAGCAGGAGAAGCCCACGGGCCCAAGCATTTCCTATGCAAGCAAGAAGGACAAGTTTCCGCTCCGGCTCGTAAATCAGCCCAGTTAGCAACTGCTGGTGATTCTCAAAAAAAAAAAAAGTTATCACTGCTGGTGCTGGCCCGTGGCGGACTATGGAGATCACCAGCTCCTTTTGCTCAGAAAAAAAAACAGCTCCTCTTTCGAATTCATCATAACTTTTTGTATTTTCTTTCACTTTTATCTTTCCATTTGTTTCTCTTCTTTTATCTCTAAGACAGTTGCAGTTTTATACACATAAAATGTTGTCAATATTTTTTAATAATAATCACCTAGTGCAAATGTCTTTGAGATAACTTAGGGCATATTTGGATACATTAGCACTAAAATTAGTACTAGTGAATCCAAACAAACCTACTAAATTATTAGCTGAAGTGCTAATAAAAAAATTAGTAGGTTTGGAGTTGCTAATAGGTGCTAATAATTCATATATACCTTGAACTCACCATCCAACCACTTATTAACAGGAGATCCAAACATCCTCCTGCTAAAAATTAGCTAGCTAAAAATCAACAACTGTTAGCTATTAGCTAGCTATTTTTTTAGAACTAATGGGTCCAAACATACTGTTATATACTAAAATGAATCCTTCTTTTTCCTGGCAAGGTCCTTGATGCAACGATTTCCGACGTTGTTGGTAGTCGATGCATCTTTTGTCTTCCACTATTCCATGGTCATGCAGGCTTGTATACTATACGTATTATATAAGCTGGAAATTTCTGAACAAATTCCTTCACTGATGATTGTCCATTGCATGCTCAATAATCATCAAAAAGCCTTTGCAACAAGAATTATAGGCCCCGTTCGCGTGCCTTTAAACTCGGCTTGATCCGCTTATTTTTTTCATCCGGAACAGTGTTTTTCTCTCACAAATTCCTCCAGCATTCCTCCAAACCATCCAGATTCCTCCAAAATTCAGACAAGCAAACAGGCCCATAGACAAAAAAAAAAGAACCCAACTATAATAGCTTTGGTGGTCCCACCTCATACTTACCAAAGATGAAACCTTAGGTTCAGCATCTTGTGTATCTTCAACCTTGTTAACTCAGACTGCTATTAGATGTACATCATCACCTTTTTCCTATGAGACAGGGAGACAAGAGATGGAGAGTCTCTTACATGGGCCAACACTAACATCTCCCCTAACCATTCTTCTTTGTTTTGGGACCACATTAACTTTTTTTGAACTAATCAAATCTGACCGAGCCTGTTTATGTTGATTAAGCGAAAAATATAAACCCTGGTCCGTCGGTAACCTAGAATACTGTACTAGTAACTTGTTTTTGCTGATTGTATTTATAGTACTATAGGAATGTAAGGTATAAAATACAAAATTGATGCATATGTGCAGCTATCCTTGGTTTGTAAACTATGTAGTGTAGATAATATGTATTTGTAGATTAATAATTATAATGTTCATAGTATTATTAGAGATCATGTAAATTGGATCACCACACCCCTATCTAAATTGAAATCATGAATGTGCCATTGGGTATAGGTGACGTCCCTCGTGATAACAAACGTTTGTGATGGTTTGCCAGTTTCAAAATCCACCGTCCAATCTCCCATAGACATGGTACGCACTAAACGTCTGCACCGTGTTTGGATTTGAAAATACACTAGGATAAACAAGACCTATAGAAAATGAAGGGGAAAAAGTGGCGTGACTCCCTTGAAAGGGCATCAGCAGTTTACAACCTTTGAACGGAACTCAACATTGACCACGTGAGCCTCACCCAACCTACAACGACAAATTAAATTCTGTCATCTTATAGAGAAGGGGCAATATTTATTTATTTATTTTGCTACACACATATTAAGCCCACATGCAGTGCAGTGCAGGTGGCGTCCTACACTACACACACCCACGGAGACATCACACGCCGTTAGCAACGAGTCCGGTCAGGTCAGCCACCCCAAACGTTGGCTCGGTCAAATTTCAATTCAATTGACCTGGTTCAACCGCGACCGCGGCCACCACCGGACCGGACCGGACCACGCGTCCACACCGCCACGCAACGCCACAGGTCTCTGTAGCCTCGCCCCGGTCGGGTGCGTTTCCGGCTCGCCCGCCGCATCGGATCCGACCTAAGAGCATCTTCATGAGTTCCATAGACTTCCTAGTACCTGGTTTTTAGGAAAATCAGAAAAAAAATCTCTCTTCAATAGTTCCTAATTCATCCTTCTAATATTTAGGGACTTAAAAAAACTGAGCCAGTTCCACGTAACTTTACGCGGCTCTTGAGTCGCGCGGATTCTTCTCCCGCGCCGTGGTTCACCAGCTGGAAGAACCCCACCGTCTCGGCCGCGGCCTTCACCTGCGCGACCACCTCCGCCCGCGCGGCTGCATCCGCCGCCGACGCCGCCGAGAGGTCGATGACCGGGATAACGCTAATAGTACTGCCGCTACTGCTAGAGGGCGATACCTGCGGCCCGTCCTGGCGGTGGTGTGCGGAAGATGGCGGGGACGGTCGTGACGCCGGCGTCCACGAGGCCCTTGCCGCCGGCCTTGGTGTCGTCGAACGCCTTCAGCTGGCTCAGGCGGTCGTAGCCGTAGCCACCAACGGCTTCTTCCGTGGTGGAGATGGCTGCCGGCCGGCCGGGCCTGCGATTGAGGCGAGCTGGATGGATTGAGATGAGATGTTAGATGTTCGTGGCGTGGTTGATTGGAAATTCATCAAATTCGTCCTAAATTTGATTTTTTAAAAACAATTTATTAGAAACTCTCGGAGATGGTTTTCTTTTTTTCCTCCCAATATTTTTTTAGGAGTTGTAAAACTATAAATTTTAGGAGGAAAAAATGGAAAACTCTTCGAGATACTCTAAGGTTGTCTGCAATATGAGATCTATCAGGCCTAAAATGAGTCTCAAAATGAGTCTATTCCTCCAATGGAGACATATATTCCCAGGATGTCGATCCAATTTGGATCATCTTTCCTAAAATTCATTTGTATAACCTAATTTGAGTATCTTTCCTAAAAATCAAAGGATTCTCCCTTTACACATGGCGCTACCGTGGAACAGGTCTTGTACGCGTCCGGTCCGACACCGACTCCAACCGGCCATCATCCGCGCTATATCCTATCCACCGCCACGGCCCACACGGCTGCTCCGCGTCCGGCCCAGCCCGGCCGACTCGCCTCGCCTTACGCCCACGTGGTCAACGGTTTTGACCCACCCCTCTGCTCCGTCCTCCATTCTTCTTCTTCCTCGCCCAGCGACCATCCACCTTTCAAAGCCGAGAGCAAGTCAAATACCGCGCGTACCACTTGGAGCCAGCCAGCCACCCACCCGGCACCACGCCACGAGTCCACAGTCCGCGTGCGCCCCCGAGCCGTCGTCACCCGTCCGTCCCGGCTTCGCTTCTCCTTCTCCCCCCAGGCCTACCCCTCGCGAAAGCTCGCCGCTGCTGCGTCCCCGCCCCGTGGCGGCACGGCACTCGGGGGGGAACCGGCGGAGGCTTCGCCGAGCCTTCGGGGGCGGCTGTGGAGGGGAGAGTAGGAGGCGGCCGGCGCTTTTTGGTGCCGTCCGTCTCTACTGCCTGCGGGCGGGTGGTTTCATTCATAGCCGACAAGGCGCGGCGTGCGATGCTCTCTTGCCTCGAGTTGTTGACTCTCGCTGGGGCTGTCGCGGCGGCTGGGCTACTGGGTTCATCCTCCCGGGTCACGGCGGCTGTTCAGGTGAGCCTGACTGATTCTCCCTCTCCTGAGTATATGCAGAGGAAGGTTCAAGGCTGGATTTTTGTTCCTGCTCTTGCTACCAACCATCGGTTTTTCCAGGTTCCCCTGTTCACCAAGAAATGATTTAGCCGATTAGTTTCCATGCCTGTTCTTTTTCTCTCTAACGGACGTGGGTAGGCTGCTTCCTTTTCTCGGTTGATCAAGGTTCGTGGATTTCTTGCCAGACGAAGGTTCCAACGGAATCACTGACGCTAATTAATGAATTTCGATTCGCTAAGGGTCGTGAGTAATGACTAATGTGGTTACATTACATGCGAACCACGCTGGCGGCTGCCAACGTATGCTGGACTTCTCGGATATTGGTTGTTATTGGTTAAGTGTAGTCACATGCACTGGAATTATTGGTTACGGGATAGCTTAGGTCTAATTATGGTCTAAATTTAGTGGTATGTATACCAGGGTTGGTTGGACGATAAACATCAGCTTGCGGTGACAGGCGTACATCAGAGCTTGCCTGAGATAAATTAGTTGGATGTATGGGACAGATAATCATTGATGCCCGATCATGCCTGTCCAATGGTGGCTTTGCACTGAATAAATACTGAAATTTTTATTGTTTTTTCAATAAAAATGTGTACAAGTTCTGTGGACTTTGTCTAATTTTAATTTTGGTTCTGAACCTTAGTCAGCAGGCCTCACCTGCCCGCGTGTACCAAGTAATTGTGTTTTAATGATTATCTACACAGACACGCTGAGCTCTCATATATGTATGCTACTTATATGCTTGAAGCACATCAGCATTGTTTGTCTGGTTGAATGCTAAGCAAAAGATGGCCACTGGGAATTTGCAAGCAGATTGTGCATTCACTTTTGTTACAGTTTAGTACAGAATTTATTGCAACCTCAACTACTGCAACTTATATACTGAAGCCAATTCACGCTTTTCTGGTTGCAAGCATTTTAGATATATCCATAATCCATATATTAGGTTGCAACATTCACTGGATAATCTTGGCCTGAATTTTAACCATAGGTTGACTTAAATTCGAAATGATATTCCCAATATAGCTCTTTCTACAAGTACCTATAACTGAAATTCACTCTTTTCAGAACATGTTAGAAGCCAGTGAAGATCGGTGAAATGCAAATGCTTGCATTGATATTATAAGTGCAGGCTGAAGTTATTGAGCTGACAGCACTAAGATATAATAGCTTGAGAATCTCAATGAGTTGCTTTTCTATATTTTGCAAGAAAAGAAGGGCAACGCGGCAACCAAGTTCCCACCATAATGAAGGTAGAGATCTCATACATGGGGTACACTCTTAAATATCCCTTTTAAAATATTGTATTATACTGTCTCCTAGCTTGTTTTGTTTCTTATTGTGATTTAACCCTGCTTGTGTAGACGTACCTGGTGGTACAAATATAACAAAATACACTTATAAGGAGCTAGTCAGGGCAACAGATAACTTTAACCAATCGAACAAGATTGGTGAGGGTGGTTTTGGTTCCGTTTACAAGGTAATATGCATAACCTTGAATAAAGAAACCAGTGAAGTTGCGAGTAATTTAGACGTGTTTGATATTCAACAGCTTAATGATGCAGGGACAGCTCAGGAATGGAACAATTATTGCTGTCAAGGTCCTTTCGACGGAGTCAAGACAAGGAGTAAGGGAGTTTCTGAATGAGCTCGTGGCTTTTTCTGGCATCTCACATGATAATCTTGTGAAACTTTATGGGTATTGTGTGGAAGGAGACCAAAGAATACTTGTTTACAACCATCTTGAAAATAATAGCCTTGCACAAACACTTCTAGGTATGTCAACTATTCTTAGATTTGAACAAAATAATACATAAGCATATGATTTTTTTCTTTAACTATTCATTACAACAGTAATATAATAAGCTACTGTTTAAGCTTTCAATATAAGCTCGGCCATGGTCTTTGGTCTAAAACAAAACTGTGGAAGATTCAGATATATGTCCTAACCCTTTTTAAACTATTTATTGATCAGGCTCGCGCCACAGCAATATCCAGTTCAATTGGGAAACTCGAGTAAATATTTGCCTTGGCATTGCACGGGGATTAGAATACCTCCATCATGGTGTCAGCCCCCACATTGTTCATCGAGACATTAAAGCAAGCAATATACTTCTTGATAGGGATCTTACCCCAAAAATCTCTGATTTTGGTCTAGCAAAGCTTCTTCCACCAAACGCGACACATGTTAGCACAAGAGTTGCAGGAACACTGTAAGTGAACGTCCGCTTTATATTTTTCATTGTTTTTTCTTGAGTGCCTAGATAAACTCATTCTTGTACCATTCTTTTCAATTTAGTTGGGCGATACTTATTAAATTATAAGAAATGCCCAGAAAGTTCAGCAAAACAATAAAACAATGACATTTGTAATTACCTGTATATGATATATATAGCCTATGTGTACCTTTTTCAGCTTTGCTTACTCCATTTTAATTGGCAGAGGCTATTTGGCTCCTGAATATGCTATTCGAGGACAAGTGACACGCAAATCAGATGTTTACAGTTTTGGCGTTCTCCTTCTAGAAATTGTTAGTGGGAGATCAAACAGCGATACAAGATTAGCATATGAAGATCAGATACTCCTTGAAAAGGTTAGATGGCACTCTAGATTACAGTTGACATTTCTTTCCGTCGCTGCTTGCATAGTTGAAGAATTTGTTTTTGCCATTGTTGATTTAAAACACTACTTTGTATTATCTGAAAATGAGTATGATTTGGGTGCGCATAAGTGTAGTCAATGTTTCGCAATGGCATTTCAAAATTTCTCTTCTCAAATGTAGTATGACCAATGTGGCACACTTAAAACTGGTGCTGTAGGCCACCAAAGAATTTCTTTTGTACCTTTTCGGATTTTCCTGAAAACTCATTATACGGCAGTTATGGGACTGGGAGCATTCTTCTAAATCCAGCTTTTGTTCTTTACTGCTACAGTTCCCAGAGATCACCAATGGGGTTCTCCTCTTGCAGACATGGATGTATTATGAGCAGGGGATTTTGGAGAAAATCATAGACAGATCTTTGGGCAGCGACTTGGATGTTGCACAGGGTTGCAGATTCCTGAAAGTCGGGCTGTTGTGTACACAAGATGTCACGAGACACCGGCCTGACATGTCAAAGGTCATCGCCTTGCTTACAGGCGAAACGGATGTCGAGTCAGAGAGGATCAGCAAGCCCGCTATAATCAGTGACTTCATGGATCTCAAGATCAGGAGCATGAGGAAAGCGAATGACATCGCTACGTCCTCAACATTCCTGTCCTCTCTCATGGCACATTCTTCGCCTATGCTGTCGAATGAGACGACACAAGCCTCCATGACATCCACTGGTATATCGGATCGTGAGTGATCCCTTGGTGAAAAAAGGTCAGGTTGTTAGTGAACTGAGTTGGTTGGAGATGTGAAAGACATGTATATGTAGAGAGTAGCATGGGCGAATGAATACCTTGCCCAGAAGTTTACCAGGTGGTTTCAGTTTTCATGTATAGATTTAATTGCTTCATTCGTAGGCGGAACAAACATCATTGTTGAGTCAAAGGAATAAGTACATATGAGGAAACAACTTCTGTGTGTACAATATTGGATTGATGACACGATTATTTTCATGGTACCATCCACATCCTGCTGCCGTGGCTTTGTGTTTGCTGATTAATTCATTTGCAAACATACAGACCAGTGAATGCCTGAAAGTACTGTCAGTGTGAACATATATGGACATAGCTTGGATGCAACATTCATCCAGAAATTAATAAGACTACAAGGCATATATATTCCTTGTTACATGCATGTGATCCAAAACACATGCATCTCTGTGGTTGGTCACTCATCAGTCATCTTGCTCCTGCTTCGCGGACAACACTGTTGTTGCAGTTACTTTTAGCAAAGCTCCAGTGACATCACCTTTGAATAACTGAGACACTGATGTGTTGTCTCATAGGCGTCCAACATCGTCGCAGGTGTTCCGTGTTCGTCCAAGCAGAAGTAGCTGCCATCCATCCTGTTCCTGTCTCTGTCACCACAATTATGCGAGGTCACCGTGCAAGAGGGGACCCAATTGCTCCTCCCAATCAGAGGACTCCAAACAAATCTTGGCACGGTCCTTTGTCTTTGTGGATGCCGTCACAGTGATCCCTGCATGCGTCCGTGTTACACTGCTACTGCCACTGCTGAACTGCTCGAGTGGTCCATGCAACGCAACAATGGCTGCTGCCTGTACTGGTGCTGGCTGGCCAGAAAGGCAGGAACTAGCACGTACACATGCATGGATGATGAGTGATCCTTGCTTGCAGTGCGGTGGGCCTTGCCAAAGTGGCAATGACAAGCATGGTGATCATGGACAAATTATTGTGGTAGTGGGCTGGCCTAGCTAGCTGTTTAGTACTGCTTTTGTTCTGGTGCAGTGGTGCTGAACTGCTGATGGAACAAGGAACTGTATGCGGCTCATTCAGTTAAGCAGCATGAGAGGCATCCGTTATGTTAAGAGGTTCTTCATTGTCCTTGTGAAGGCACCTTGTAAAAAGTGTTCCGCTAGAAGCAGCTGTTTTTTTTAATAAGTGCTGCTTTTTTATAGTACAATTTTCGTAGCAACTTGTCCTCCGCTTTTGATTTTCAGCTTGCTACTTTTTTCAAATGGGTGAACAATAGAGACGTTTTATAGTTGTTTCAATCAAAAGAAGATAAAAATAGAATATATGTTTCATACTAAACAGCAACAACTTTTCCACAGGTCACAGCTGAACTAAGCAAACTCTAAATTCTGGTAGCTCGCACATTATATATACCATTATCAGTGCAGCCTCGAACACTTCCAAGGACCGTGGAAAAATGCTTCTGTTAAGTTTGAACATTGCCCATCATATCCTATATGATAGTGCAACGTCCTTTTGGTTTCTTATCAGTACGGTCTCGATCTGTCAGGAGGACCCACAGCAAAGCCCCCAATGCAAGCACAAAGCTGGGAGCATCAACTTTGCCGGCACAGTCCAACCTTCTGCTCCTGTACGAATGTACGGCACGCGCACGCGCACCCGTAATTCATGCTAGCAACCATTATGAATGTGTAAAAACTTGTGCGATCCTTACGCAAAGCTCTCCTTAGCTTTGTGTTCGAAAAAAACTTATTCATACTAGCTACTATCTATGGATGCCAAAAGAAAGTTCAGAGTTCGGATAAATGCACTCTCTGACTGCTGGGCGTGGTCTGATACTTAGATGATGTGATTGCATGAAAATGCAATGCAATGTTGCTCTATTCTTGGTGTTTAATTTGGCAATATCGTGTGGGGGGAGCATCTACTAACCAACACGATATTGCTTCGTTTCAAAAGATACATAATGAATGAAGTAAAATTGCTTCGTTTCAAAAAAAAAATTAAGTAAAATTGCATTCACTCAACTATTGAGAATGGGTCCAACCAAGGTATATATGGGCATACATCTGAAAGTTTTTTTTCCAAAAAGCAACCGGCAAGAAATCCGGTGGGCATCTATTACTAATATAGAGCAAGAAACTTACACAAACAACACACAGAAACAAAAGAAACAAAAACCACCCACACAACAGAAACAACAGCAAGACACACAACATATCACTAACATAACCAACAATGCACCGGGCAACCACCAACATGCACGCCGTAACAAGCACGATGGGAAGGGGTCACCAAAGCCATGCCTCCAGGGAACAACATCAACATGGCGTCTACAGATATCGTTAATGCCGACCAGAGAATTAGCACAAGGTTTTTCAATCAAAACCACTAGGCATACCACTGCATAATGACTTCAAGCCTTACATGTACATGGGGCAGGAAATGCTCTCTGTCGTTCAAAACTATACCCTTTTTTTTTTTTTTGGGGGAGCATGTGGTCGCTTAAAAACCTTTTTGAGAAATTCCTTCTCGCAAACGTTCACTGTGCTAGCTACAAGCAGCTCTTTCCACATCTGAGCGTGTGATTAGTCCCATTGGACAAACACTAATACTTGAAATATAGAAGTATAGTGCAAAGATTGAACTGAAATGGGGAAAAATCAAGGAATGAAAGAAATTATGGAACCAGACACCTTTCAATGGATTTATTGGTTCATGTAATCTACCAGGAACTAGGCCTTGTGTGTTTGCCATTTGCAGCACTAATCCTAAATGCGTGAAAGTTTCATTTAAAAAGACAAAAGGGGAAAAAGACTGTATACCTCGATCAGAACACAGAAGTAGAAAAGACTATCAGATAAGAAAAGCGAGCTATAGAAAAAAGAAAGAAATAGATAAATCAAATCAAAGCATGATCACATTGTCAATGTACTCATTTCAGATTAATGCAGTATCGATCGATCAAAAGATGACAAAAAAATGTTGTGTATGTGCCCGGAATTCAGGGACCAATATGGTACTGAAGCATCATGCAGAGGGCGAGCTAGCGATATATATATACTTCATTTGAGACAGAATCAGCCATGTGTTAAAAACCACAAACTGAAATCATATGAGTTCATGATAACCTGACCGATTTCTTGGAGCAAGATGGCAAACTGGTCAGGAGAAGTACATGGTTGAAATTCGCATCAGTTACCATTCGGCTCCTGCAAGAAGCTAAGAAATATACCAAACATGAAAGTACATCATCGAAAACATAGTAGAGATCAAGGTGACAGAAGAATGAATCGAACAAAAAATGCATGCATGCTTGGCCCCTTGCACGCCACCCACAGCAGGCAACCTTAGCATATGGGTTGGGCTACATGTGTGGCATACAGGGAGCCAGGCACACACAATCTGAATTTGATCATCAAACCTCTTTATGTATCTGTCTGTATCTCTCTCATTCACATAACTGCGCTTGCAACTGTGCAAGGAACGAAGACCGGCCAAGAGAGCAAAAACATGTGTTCCATTTTAGGCATGCAGTATAATGCTAGCGAGCTAGAAACAAAACTGGAGCACGATGGGCACGCACGAGCTAATAAGCAGCAACAAAGACAACAAGATGCATGACCGGACTTGTACTGGAGGGAGGAGGAAGTTAGGGACCTAGGGTTAGGGGTGGAGAAAGAGGAGGAAGAACAGTGTGAAGGCGTGAAGGATGGAGGTAGAAGAAAGAGCAGAAACTGGATTTATAGAGGAGAGAGGAGAGGAGAGAGAGAGAGATGGAGGGGCCAGCACAGCAAAGCATGCTAGCTGCACAACACATGTAGTATCGGAGTACGCACAACCACAACAGCTCCATTGCCACCTGCTGCTCACCAAAAAGTACTGTGGAGTAGTACAGCTACAAGGAGGAAACGCAAAGGACATGGAGCACAAGACACTGGCGAGAATACTTCCCAAGGGGATTAAAGGATGATGCAGCTTTTGATGCAATTTTTATATTGCATCTAAAGTGCTGGCCTAATGGGGGTAGTAGCTAGCTAGCTAGCCTAAAGCCGCCGGCCCCTTCTCTCTCTCTCTCTCTCTCGCCGGCCGGCAGCACCACCCAAAGCAGCCAATGGCGTGCTAAAGCATGTCTCAATCCAACTATCAAAGCAGCTTCCCTTCCCTAACTAAGCTAGCTAGGAGTCCTAGCTATGGCGCACGCATCTCTCTCTCCACACCCTGACCCTGCAGCTGCAGGGCTAGCTCGACGGCGAGTGCTATACGGGGAAGCGTCATGTCATACTGCTCGTACTGCGGCGAGCTCTGGCTGTGGAGACGACACGATGACGACGACTATACATGGAGGAAATGGCAAGAGGTATCGATCGCCATCTCCTTCCTTCGACCAACCCAACGCCCACTTGCCGTGCAGACGAGCGAGGGACGCAGCTTCCTCGATCTCTCACGCGGGCCGGGGGGTGGAAATGGAATGGAAGGAAGTGGAACGAAAGAGAGAGCACGGGTGGGAGGGTTGGTGGGTAGACTGTGTGTAAAGTTGATGGCTAAATTTTGTCTGGAGCACTTGGCCGGGCTCCAGATTCCATCCCCCTCTCGTCTCGCTACACCAAACCTCAGCTCAGCGTACTTCCGTACCAGGCAGGCAAACGGATATGTTACATATGTACGTTGGATAATATGTTCCCTCCAGGATATATATTGGGAATAATACACATGCTATTCTACCCTCCAAAGTGTAATACTGAACAAAATTCAGTACTGTTCAGTAGTCATGTGTCAGTATTATTCAATATTTTGTGGTACTGGATGCAGTACTGACTGATATTGAACGTGGTTTAGTCAGTTTTGACCAGTGGTTTTGAATAATATTCGTGGTTCAGTAGTACTTGATATTTTTTCTAGCCAGTTTTGGCTAGTGGCGTAGAATACTAGATGTAGAATAGCACTGCCGCTGGGAATACTATATATCTTATATGAACAT